CCATGTTTGTCCATTTGGGCTGGACTGGACTGGCAAGTTGGCTATACTCACTAGGTTTCCCCAGAGGAGTCATGATTTGTACCTGAAGATCCAATGGGAGGAATTTAGAAAATGCTGCTGAAGGCACCAATGCACGAGGTACAACTTTAAAGCTTGATGGGACAGTAGCTAAAGATGGCAAATGGAGGTGGAAGGCAAGTGGTTATAGGGTCCAAGAGTATTATGTGCTGTTCTCAACCCCACTGTACAAGTCCTCAATAGTTGCTTTATAATTTTAATTCATCCTCAAGGCATGGTCATGAGAGGTGAGCATTTGTCCAATGGTTAAGACACCAGTTAGGAGCCCTGCTTCTCATATTAGACCACCCAGTTCTCATCCCCCATTCTGGCTTCTGATTCCAGCTTCCTGCCAGCACACACTCTGGGTGACAATGGTGATGGCTGAAGGAACTAGGTCCCTAATATTTACATGGAAGACCTGGGTTGTTCCCAACTCCCAGCTTCAGCCTGGACCCAGCCCTGGCAGTTGCAGGCATTTGGGCACCGACCCAGCAGAGCTGAGACTCCTATGTCTGTCTCTCTACCTACCAGTTGGCTAATCTCTATATCTCCTGAATTAAACGGGAAAAATAAAGATAGGTCATAAATTCACACATCCCTACTCCCACCCCAGTCAGAACTACCACACCAACAAGCATTTTGTCTAGTCCCCCAGATTCTCTTCTTTTTCACATCACAGCTAATGTCGCTGGACCAAGCAAGCCCAGAGGGCATATCCCAGGCCCCTGTCCCTTTGTAAGTACCCCTCATGTAGCCTTCCACCCAAACAGCCATCTAATCAACACAATTCCCAATTCCCAATAACTCACAGAACATTAGCCATTTGACAATTAGACTGCAAACAAATAATAAATATTACAAATCTGGCAATCAACCCAGACTAAATGCTTGTTTTTAACTCCACAATTTCCATCATGAAAACTCAGCCCTAAGAAATTAAAGAATTTAGTTTTGTTTTGGAGATAGACTTTCAGTAAACACGAGACAGAAGTCCAAAATCAGGTTTGGGCTCCTATTTATAGATGTCTGTGTTTTCATTTCCTGTTCTTGGTCTCTTCCCAAGTACTTCTCAGTGTCCCAAAAGTTTTGCTTATTTCCTAAATCCACAGGGTAATTTGACACATCAAATTATCTCTTCCATTCTGAATACTCCATTTGTCACCAGCACTGGAAAAATCCAAGTTTAAAAAGAAAACACTCTTGCAAAGTTGATTAGTATAATCAGCTGCTGAGAGAGAGAGGAAAAAAAAATTTTAAAGGCTGGCGGCTCAGGCTTCCCAAGGACACGTGCTTTGGGATCAATCTCCTTAAAATCAAGTCCAACAAAATGGTGTTCACACGTTCCAGGACGGCAGGCGGCAAGCGGGCCCTTGCACAGGACCTTAGTCCAGGAACTTGATTATCCCAACAGAGGCACATGAGCAACGAAATTGAGGTTTGTAAGCAAGATGTGCAGAGCCACGAGAGAAGGAGAGGCAGCCCAGGCTTAGCTAACACAGAAACAGGGCAAGTCAGCTGAACACGTTCACAGACCTGTCAATGTTGGGAAGGGCCCATCACGGCCATGTTCTCAACATGGAAGCTAAAGAGTCCCAAGGTTTCATCATTCCTGTGTCAAGCACTTGGGAGGGTGCCTTTTTTTTTTCTCCTGAAAATCACTATCAACACAGCTGGAACATCTTAAATGTTAGCCATCCTAAATTTGACTGCATTATGAAGACGTTTTTAATTTCTACACATTTTTAATCTCTCTTCCTGTGTCCCCTTATTAAGAAAGTTCACTCACATCTTCTCTCCCGCCTCTGCCCCCACCCAGAGTAGAACTACAGGCATTGTTTGTTTTCCCCCAGGTGAACCTACAAGGGTGGGAAGAAACTCCAGGCTTTCTCTTAAAGCCAGCTGTCCCACAAAGATCCCGAGTTTGAGGTAAAAGATGAGGATAAAACGTCAACGGCCCGGTGCTGGAAAGCACTGCCACCTTCCCGTGTACTCCCTGCTACGGGCAGTCTGCAAGACAGACAACAGCCTGGCCGGATAAGGAAGAGCAGGGTGGACTGTGTCTGGAATCTCGAGTTCACAAACTGTCAGTGCTCGGATGAGGGTCAAACCCTGCAGCTGGGCCGAAGCCTGAGACCAAGGTCAAGGCTTGTAGGCAAGGGTTCACGGCTGGGCTACAGTCCAAGGCTACCGAACTTGAGACTGTCACGTACTGACTCCTGCAGCTGGGTCACTTCCTGGTCATCAAGCACAAGCTGGTTACCCTCAGTGTGGGACATGACCTGACAGTTTATGCTTCATCATCTGTTGTTGAGGACTCCCTAAGCAGGTGAATAAACAGCAGATGGCAGCGAGCCTGCGGGGTCATCCTCCCTTCCTTGGAGAAGTGGGCTTCCCCACCGCCTGCCACTTTTATAGCATCATCTGGTGCCCCTGTCTCTGCATTCTTATTTTCCTCATTGCACATCACCTCCTCCAGCCCTGTGCAGGGCACACAGGCACAGCACCCCCTAAAGGACAGACCTGGGAACAAGCATCAGCAGCTCCACAGCACAGGTGTCACTTCTCTCCTCCATCTTGCTTGGGGGCGCACTGGATGCCAACTGCTGTGTGAACTACTCCCTTCCGGCATGGTGTTGGCACCCAGGGTACAGACAGAACTAGGATGACAGTCCCTTCACAAACACATCTTGGGAACAGGAAGGGGCCTTAGAGACTGCCTGCTCTAACTTGGCCATGGTCATACTGTTGGAAAGACTTAAAGTACTCAATCTGAGCACAGGGACAGTACCATGCTTCTAACCAGAATAAACAAAGGTTTTCCTCTTATTTCCATTCCTAGACACCACTCCAGCTGCCAGGGACGTTTCCACTTCAGTGACCTCACGGGCTCCCCCACATCTGCATCCCTGCCCCTCTCTCCTCAGGGGCTCCTGACTCTGACTTCCACAACATGTCCATGTGCTTATCTCCTTTACCCCTCACTGTCCTCTCAGCTCCCTCTGTCCCCTTCCCGTGGGGTCCCCGAGGCACCCCCTCTCTGTCCTACATCTGTTCTACCTGCAGCCCCTCTGTGGCTGGTTCCCGTGACTTTAACCCTGTCCCAAGGAGCACTAGACACTTCTCTGGGTGTTCTGTGACTTGGTTTATGTTCTTATCCTCTCAAATTCTGTGTTACACATCCCAAAGGCCATCTCAATGTCCATAAATGCTCCCCAACTTCCTGGGTAACACAACCTCCAGAACTTCACCTGTCTGCTTCCTCTTCCTCCTCCCTTACCCACTCATACTGGTTTTATGAAGAACAAAAACAAAAGTCTGCATTCCCTTTTGGACTCAGCTTTCTTTCGTTCAATTTCCTAACTCAGCATCCCTCTCAGTCCTCTTCTTTCTTAATCACCTGCCTCTTTCCTCAATATTCTGCTCAAGAAGGCCTTGCTTTTCTCTTAACTAGGATGCTCTTCTCCAACCAGGCATGTCTGCTGTTCTTTCTTTTCTCCTTCTGATCCCTGCCTGTGATAAATCCCATGACATGAGCATGTGTCCTGTTCAGGCGCTGACTTCCTCTTAGGGGCGGTTCAAGCCTGACATCTTTATCGAAGCTTTCTGTCACTGTTCTTGAATTGATCAGCTATACATGTGCTGCTCAATATCCAACCACTTTATTACACTGACTTTCTAGATATATCTGTCTGGTCTTCTTGGTGTGGCTGCAGGAATCCAGTCTTAGTTGTTTTTGTAGTTCCTGAGACTAACCCAGGAATTATGTCACATTATTGAAAAAAAAATGCTTTAGTTTAGTAATTTAAGATAACATGAGTATAAAGTGGGAAATACAAGTTCAGATTCTGGCTTTGTTCTTTTCTGGCTGGATGGCCCTAGGTAAGTCACTTATTCTTGGCGAGATTTCAAATGAATAAAACAAGAAATACCACCCACTTACTAGGGGCGATGTGAGTTTAATGGAGGCGAGTCTGTGTAGATGTTCAGTCGCACACAGTGTATATAGCAGTGTATCTCCATGGCGAATGCTTTCTGAACAAATGCTTTTATGATTTTTCACACAATAGGCATTTCAAGGCACTCCTCACCGATCCATTTAAACTACAAAGCTCATGCTGAGCACTCTTTCCTAACATGCTGTCATGAATCCATCTGACATGAAGTTTGACACCAAGGCAACTCAAAATCTTAAAAAAAAAAAAAACCCTACATTCCAGAAGAGTAGGAAAGACAACTTTGAGCAAGACTGAGGACCGGCTCCATCCATATACATAACCCAACCAAGCTTGACTTTCAGCAGTTGTTCTTTCTGTAACAGACTGAAGCAGAACTAGGCCAGTTTAGGAGAGGCTAAGCTTGTCCAAACATCCAAAACAATGGATTTCAATTTTGTGACATGGGATTGTTAGAGTTCTGTCCAGAACTGGAGTTTGGCCATCAGCCACTGCAGTTGGATATGCTATGAAGAAAGCCGGCAGCTTTCCTTCAACTCACAAGACCATGTCTGCTCAGCAGCTTAAAAACAAACAAAAAAACCATGGAGAAAATAGTGCAGCGGGCCCCACTACAGCGCCCGTCCTGGCCTCGCTTGCCCAGCAGTATCCCCTTTCTTTCACCTAAGGAAGCAGGGTCTTTTCTTCCTTGAGCAGCAGGGCCTGGCTTTTCCTAGGTTGAATCAGACTGTACTTACACAAGTAGATGTCATCCTTCTAAGGAGGTGACAGAAACTTTCCACCAGCATCAACTATGATGTCCCAAGGCAGGTGAATCAAAGCCCAAAAAATCGAAACTGTGATCTCCCTGGGACTGACTAGCTGTGGCCTGTAACGAGTGGTCACAGAGAAAGTCCCTCTCTGTATCACTGCCCAAGTTACTTCCATTCCAAGGCCCCATCCTCGTTATTTCTGGCACACCTGGGCAGGACAGTGGCATGGTCTTACCGCAGATGTGAGACGAGCAAGAATTTCATCACTGCTTTCTTCAGAGTCTTCCATTTTCTGATGAGACCTTGGAGAAACAGACAAACAACAAACCATGACTCTTCAGGTTGTTCATGGTTATCTACCAAGTCATGGGGAATAAATGACGAATAATGTCATTGCTGTTATTATGAAAGTACCCATGCAAATATGGTTGTGTTAGCAGAGCCTTAGAAACACAATCCTATGGGAAGCCAAACTTTCCTCCAAAACCATTAGTAAGAACTTCTTACTATGCACCCAGCGAGTGCTGAAGCTCAAGAATTCCTCTCCAGATGGCATCACAGGACAGCTCTGAAATGCCCAATTTATACACACGTGCTTGGACAAAAGCAGATGTGTGGATAAGGCTGGTGAGCGCACAAATTCCCTCTACATCTCAGCAAAACCCAGATTTAAAAAACAAAAATGAGTTCTACATTTGTGTTTTGGCTAAACCTGATTTACTCCAAAATGGTACACCGCACATTAAACACTGTAATGGAGATGTTAAAGACTATAAAAAGCGGGACAGTTTTGATGCCTCAAGAAGCCACAGCTGAGGCTGGTGTTGTGTGTGGTGCAGAGGGTTAAGCTGCTCTCTGTGATGTTGGCATCCCAATTGGCTCCAGTTTGAGTTCTCAGCTGCTGTATTTTCCATCCAGTTCCTTGCTAATGTGCTTGGGAAAGCAGAGATATGTCCCTCCAGGTGCCTGGGCCCCTGCATACACAATGGAAGACCTCAAAGAGGCTCCTGCTCAGTCCAACTGAAGCCAGGAACCAGGAGTTTCTTCCAGGTCTCAAGGCTTTGGACCATCCTCAACTGCTTTCCCAGGCTACAAGCAGGGAGTTGGAAGGGAAGTAGAGCAGCCTGGACATGAACCAGTGTCCATATGGGTTCCCTGCACATGCAAGATGAGGATTTAGCCACTGAACCATTGAACCAACCCCCAGATGCTTCTTGTCCAACCTCCATTGCTATGATTGACATCTATCACTCCCAAGCCCTTTTCCAGCTTCTGAATCTCCTCTGAACCTGCTAAGTTTCCCCATGTGGCTCTTGGGGACAATCCCAAAGGACTCTTAGGGGTTCCTGGGACCCAACTTCACACTCAACTGCTCTGGCATCCCAGGGCACCTGCAGTACTGGTCACACTGAGGCCATCCTTGGTCCCAGCATTCTTCATGCCTGGTGTCACCTGATCCTCTCATTTCCTTCCTGATCATGCCTCCAGAACAGTCCATGCTCTCATATTCTCAGAAACACATGCCCTTAGCCAACTGCTACCTGACTTTTATGGGTCTGGCTTCTCCTCTACTCAATCTCCCACATAGCAACAATGACTCTCTAAGCCCTAAATCTGGCCCTGCTCTTTCTGATCTCCAAACCTCTGGGTGCTCTCCCCACTGCCTACTGAATACAGGAGAATACAGAAATACTGCTCCTGCCCTAAGCACATGCCCATACGCCCTCTGCCTGCTGCTCACTTGGCCTATAGGAGGGACTTACAGTGAGACCAATGGCCAGAAGGAAGGAACGGAGTGGGGGAAGGAGGGTGAGAAAGAGAAACAAAGAGAAAGAAAAAGAAAAGAAACAAACAAAAAAGAAGGAAAAAGTACAATGAGAGAATATGAATTAGACTTTTCTTGGACTCTTTAAATCATAAACACAAACATTTGCTCTCTTTTCCCAGAGAAGACCATTCTTCCAGCACCAGGCTCCTCGCTATGCCACTAGAGGACATCTACCAAGCAGCAGTAACTTATGATTGTGACAGGTTCCACGAAAGGCCCGCCTGCCACAGTCATGCACTCCTGTCAAGCTGAGTAAGGTCAGGTATCACCGATGGCTTTGTTCACATTTGCTGTGCAGGATCCGAAGATGAATGCTTAACGCTTCCTGCAGTAACTGTGCTTACTGACCAAGACAACCGGGCTGGCAAGTTCCACTCTGGCTGGCATTCCTCATTGCTCTTACAGAGAGATGTGCACTCTGATAAGAGGCAAGTCATCCGTTCTCACACCTGGAGGGGGCCTTGCCTATCCAGAGTGGAAATTTTGGAGAACTCAAAGAGATCCCATGGGAGGCAGGCTGGGCAAAGAATCAGAACAAAGAATAAGAGCGGCTGATTTTGTAACATCTTTCACAAAAATAATCTGAAGTGAGAGATGGAAATTTTCTTCACTCATAGTCCTAACAGAAAATTTATGCCAAGCTCCACTATGAAAAAAAAATTGAGAAATAATCAAAATACGTTTGCTCACCCAGACAGTATTTCCTGCTCTCCAAGTGTCACGAGGATCTAACCGGGAACAGTGAAGAGTACAAAGGGGAGGACTGGGGGCAGAGGGGAGGCAGACTTGACCTCCCAGTCAGGAAGTGCTAACACTGTTTCACAAGCAAAGGATAGTGGTGGGTGGGTGGGTGTCTCCAGCTGCATACACAGCACAAGTGGAAAGAGGAAAAAACCAGAGAGGATGGGTGTTGTAAATACAGGAAGCCCAGGTGAGTGCTGCGAGTGGGAACCATGTCATTCTTTTTTTAAAAAAGATTTATTTTTATTATTTGTTTTATTGGAAAGGCAGATATACAGAGAGGAGAGACAGAGAGGAAGATCTTCCATCCGATGATTCACTCCCCAAGTGAGCGCAACGGCCGATACTATGCCGATCCGAAGCCAGGAGCCTCTTCTGGGTCTCCCACGTGGGTGCAGGGTCCCAAAGCTTTGGGCCGTCCACAGGCAGGGAACTGGAAGGGAAGAGGGGCTGCCGGGATAGAACCGGCGGCCATATGGGATCCCGGGCGTGCAAGGCGAGGACCTTAACCACTTGCGCCACTGCGCTGGGCCCGGGAACCATGTCTTTCTACAAACTGCTCATGGCGCCCAGGGTCCTCCATGCCTGGTGAGGGCGCGTCTACAGCCAGAGTGGGCACGTGAGCGCGGAGTTCCTGTGCACTCCTGCCTCTGTAGGTATTTTCAGGCACACACTTCACTGCCATTAGGATCTGGTTGGCCAGAGACTGCCGCCAACAGAAAGAATGGGTGCTGTTGAAGAGACACCTTCACAGCTCCCAAAAGGAGAGCACTGCAGGTCACAGTCCAGGTGGAAGACCAGGGGACCAGAATGGAAACAAGGACAAAGGCTTTGTAGTTTCCTCAGGCAAGAGGGAGGACGAGGCCAGGCAAACAGGTTGAAGATTATTAGCTGGATTGAGGGCCTAGGTGGAACAAACAAGCGTAGGATTGGCTAAGTGAGGGCTGGGGGGCGGGTCAAGCAGGCTGAGGATTGGCTGGATTGAGAGCAAGGGAAGGGCATACAGGCTAAGGATTGGCTGGGTGATCTGGGGTGGGACAGGCCGGCTGAGGATTGGCTATGGTGAGGCTGGAGGACGGACAAATAGGCTGATGATTGGCTATAGTACTGGCAGGGGGGCAGGACAAATAGGCTGAAGATTGTTTGGGTTGAGGACTTAAGTGTCCACTGTGCAGTCCCCAGGTGCCTGATTCTTGACTTTGGTGAGGAGGACAGGCGGACAATGGCCAGAAGATGAAAGCCCAACAAACGGGCGGTGGCCTCAACTCAGCACGGCCACAGAGGTCAACACACTTAAACGTGTGGTTACTGCAGTGATGAAGAAGCGGGAGGGGGAGGGTGTCCTGAAAAGTAGAAACCAGTGACATAGAAGAACCAAAACACGGGACCCCAGGAGCTCCCTCAAAAGCCACTTCCCTAAGGGCATGATCACTCGTGCCAACAGCTGCTGTCACATGCCATGGTCTCCTAAATTAGGGAACAAGACCCAGCTCCTACAAGAAGGCCCTGGCCATCTGCACATGGAGGTCTTCAATGTGGTGCTGCTGCTGCTGAGTCCAAATGGCCTGAACTGAGCAGAGAACAGAAGAGTACAGAAGTCACATCAGAGAGACGGAGCACCTGGGGGAGGTATGGGTGGTGACACACAAACCATGGCTCACAGGAACAACCCAACCAAGCAAAAGAAGGCAATGGAAAAGCATGGATGCCGCACCCAACCAGCTCCTCTTTCAGGCCTCCCAGCTTCCGTCCATCAGCCTAACTGCCCTTGTCCAGCTCCTGGATGATAAATCAACCTCCTACTAAAAATAGCTCCGTGCCCTGCAGGAGTGGTGCAGCTAACCCTGCAGGGTTCTGGCCCCCAGACTCACGAGATCATCTGTGCCACAGATAACACCTATCTGGATGTCGCTCTTAGTTTCCAGGGATGTCATCTCCAAGAACTCCAGACCTGCAGTGGAAAGTCACCATGACCTGTGTATGTTACCCCAGGACTGGCTGAAGCCCACATTCCCCTAGTCGAGGACATGATCTCACCCATCAATCCCAGCATGGTCACCAGCACTGCAGGCTGACCTGTACATCAGCGTAACAGGCACCTTGCAGTCCCCACTTCAACCCATGAGAAGCTCTACCCTTCAGCCCTTCGGGAGCCTGGGGATTTAGCCATAGCTTCCCAGCTCCTTGTTCTGCATTTCACAGTCAGCTCCTCCCTTTCTTCTACTAAGGTGAACTAAGTGATATTGCTCTCTGCACACTGGGTGGGCAGACATGCCCCTGCGGGTTCTAGTATAGCCATTCTTCCTACCAGTTTTTTTTTGGGGGGGGGTGGTGGGAGGAGGTGGAGAGGTAGTTCTGAATAAAGAAGGCGATTACCTAGGGAGACTGTAGTTCAGAGTGGGCATCCTGCCCTTGGCTCCCAGTCACACCTGGCACTGTCCTGGAGCTGGCTCAACACTCACTTGTCTCAAGGGTAGCCTCACATAGCTGACTGTTGACCAGCTGTCTTTGGTCCAAGGTGCTTTTCGGGTGGAAGAAACTGGGCTTCAATTCACCTTGAAATCGGGGGGGGGAGGGGCCTTTGATGAGTAACAATCTCATACGTGATGATGCCAGGGTAACTGCTCTTAAACAGATGCAGGTTCAACGGCGAGTGGACACAGGGTATTAAAGGGACCTTTTTTTTCTTTTTGGAGCTAAAGAGCTCACTTCACCTTGAGAAAATGCTTTTAG